TCCATTTTGCCCAGCACACTTTGGGTTAATGCCTGCTTTCCAGGTGTAATAGATAGTAGTGTCCCCTTTCCCTGGAAGTTGCTCCAGTTCATACAACAAATTACACAATCATCTTGACATAATGACAATACAATGGGATGTCAGAAGGTATAGTGTGGCCTCTCTGGTCCATTCAGTCCTCACCACTCCCTGTTGTCTTTTTTGTTAAGATGGATATTTCTTTCACATGTTAACACCACCAACTCTACCCTAAAATGCTTCAGAAGTTCTGCATGGCTAGCAGGCAGGTGCCCTGTGGTTACTGTGACTGCATACTTGATTTGGGTTCTGGTTGTTCTCATTATAAGAAAATGCCTTAGTTGACTTAGACATTTTTGATATATCCTATATCATGAAGAATCCACTGTGAGTTGGCACTGAAAGAGAAATCCATCCTGTACCCTGAAAGGCCATACTCTTAATGTTATAGAACAACACTTGTCATTGGACTAATGACTTTGGTTCCTTGCCTTTTTCAAAGCAACCTGCAAGATACATAATAAAAAGTATGAACATAATTTTTTTCTTTTTTGCTTGTATGTGATATGTGCATGTGTGTATGCATGCTTGCATGTGTATGGTTGCAACTGTGTATGTGCATGTGCACATGTTTGCATGTTTATGGAATGTGTGTATGTGTGTGTATGTTTACTTTTCTCAATGGAGAACATTATAGAAAACCAGGGCAAAGCATTTTTTGAGAAAAATGTGGGGGTCTTAAAGAAAATGATAGGATGAGACTAAGGCCTGCAAAGAACATTTTGAAGTAAGTCAAACACAGGAGGCAGCTGGGTCTGACAGTGAGAGGCATCCCGTCTGTTTCTATGGCTCTTACTTTGCTTGGTGATAGAAATGGAGGAGCTGGCTAATCTCAAGCCTGCTTATGTCCATGTGCTCAATGCTCCCCACTCTAAAGAGAAAAAACTATCTCATCTACAGACAGTAGACAACAAGGCTAGGTCTCTGGCCCAGTATCTGCTCAGAGTGCACAGGGTGTGGAGCTCAGAGATGGACACTCACTTGAATATCCTCCAGGTTCTCCTAGTGGCTTCTTGACTGGTACTACCTCCAAGATGGTGCTGAAGACCCCAGTGAGACCCAGTTTTCTATTCAGAATACCTAGAACAAGAAGAGAGTCTAGACCACAATGGGTTTTGTACTAAGAATACCTATGGAACAATCCTGGGCCTAAAGAAGACAGTCCTTGCCTCTCCTCTGACTCCCTGTGAGTGTTGTGTGTTCATCCTACTCTTTCTTTAGCTACTGTGATATTTGTAAGTGGTGATCTCCAGGCTAGTTTCAAAGACACATTTCAATAAGTCTGTCAGGAATAGGATCTGCATCTGTGACAAATAGATTGTTCCTTTCCTCCTGATCAATCAACCATCACTAGACATAAAAGCCACTGTGGTAGTCATCCTAAGACTTGATTGTCAAGTAGACAAGTAAGCATCAGATGCCTAGGACAACTGAAAGAAAGAGCAAGCCCTTGGGCAGTGGTAGCAGGAACATACAAATAGATGTCCCTGGAGAATTCAGTCTAGAAACACTTGGGCCAGTTTGGGAGATGGTAAGTCTCCTCCAAGGAATAAGTTGAAGCTCCACCTTGAACTGTGGGTGGGATGTACTAAGCAAGTGGAAGCATTTCAAGTGAAGATAAAATGACCAGACAAGTTACTCAACCTTTCTGTGGGTCTTGGCGGGTCCTTAGAAGGTGATAGGAATAAAATCTGGAGGTCTGACTTGAAAGAAAGGTCAAGACTGATCAAAAAGTTAGCTTTGTCAAAAACTTCAGGCCCATTCTTACCTACAGACAACCCGTGGTGATCTGAAGTCATTAATCCACCTGAAAGGCCTGTCCTGACCTGAGTTCCCTTGCTTTGAAGTGTGCTGTCCTCGGCGGCATGAGGAAATAATTTGCTGCCTGCTTCAATGAACCATCAGGAGAGCCAGCAGACCTAATGACATGTGAGAATATTAACCTCCTACCACGAAGAGCTGTGAATCTTGAGCGGCAGTCTATAATTCACCCTGAACTCCTGAGCCAGGCTTTCTCTCTCACTCACTTTCTCAGTTAAATCCAGAGAGAGGAGGGGAGGCTTGCTCATAAAACTTTATATTCTCCAACAGTACAAACCTTGCTGAGCTGTTTAGTAATGAGTGACTTTCCTATTGAAATGGGGAAAAAATTGTCCTTGCAGAAGCAGGAGGTGGGAGAAGGAGTGTTTTCAGTGATGATTTGTGTAGATGCCTTGTTCTCACAGTGGAGACAATCATGGTATCATGGAAGGTGGCTGCCTTAGTATTTGGGTAACCAAACTTCTTTGTAATTCTGCACTTTCTCTTCAACATCAGAGAAGAACAGATGTTAGAATACAAATATGAACATAACTCTAAAGATGTTTAAAGAGCCATTTGAAGGTAGGAGCACAATTCACGTGTTTCTGAGTTGTGATGATTGTGTGTCTATACCATGATTTTGTGAGATTATCAGACTGTTGGGAACAAAGTATTGTCTTAACCACCTTTGTACTTAGAAGTGCTAAATACACAGAGGGCTTCAAGTGACAATTGTTAAAAGATACCCAGATACCTTGGGTCTACTGTGACCCAAGGTAAGCCTATGGAGGAAGCCAAGGTCCACAGGATAACTTATTCACTCCTGCAACTAGAGTTTGTCCTCAGGTTAAGCTAAGGTTCTGTGTCTTTCTGGTCCATCTGGTTGCTGCTCTTGACATTGTGATGTTTTTTACTGCACTGTGTGATACTGGTGGAAAACGTAATCTATGAAGTTAATCCCAACACATGTTCCAGGGGACCAAAAGCAGGGGATAAGCAAGGAAGCAGGCAGTGAGGTGCTGTGGGGCCCAGTGTGTGAGGACATGTGGACATAGTTGCTTGGCAGAGAGCACCTGGCATGGGGGAGCCCTGAGTCTAGGAGAATCTTCTATGTTTTGTTAGAGAAACCCGGTCCAAGAGAACCCACTGCTCTGTAGTTTCCATGGGCCGGGAGAAAACTCGGTACATTCACCCTGGTCCTGGGGAAGGGATGTTTAGTAAACAGTCTTAGAAGGAAGAATAAGAGAATCATGAAAGATCCATTAGTTATTTATGAGGATGCCTTTCTATGTAGCCAGGCTATTTCATCTCAGGATCCCAAGTGTCTCCATTGAATGCAGGGCACATACAGGCATTTTAATGAGTTATGGATATAATGAAATACAACTTTGTCTTCCCACTTATTTGACTGACGAAACAAATGGAAAGCCAACAGTTAATATCTGTTCCGTGTCCATGTCATCCTCAGCCTTTCTAATCTGACTAAATCACCATCTTCTTCCTTCATCCAGCTTCTCCATTTGAAGAATTAATTTTACTAAAACCAGTCAAATTAAAGTGGCCTCTGTGCAGGGCATCCAGAGGGGACATTCATTATGGTTTCTTATCTTGGAAGTGATCAGCATGAAAGTCAGCTTGGCCATTACGCACACACGATGCGTCAGTTCTGGACCAATGACCAATTCATCAAATATTTGTCTTTTGCCATCTTAGAAGTGTGTCACTTTACCTGTCACATTCTAGTTTGGGTTGACATGAAAGATGAGGCAAAGTATGAGGGGAATGAGTTTCATAACCCAAAATTTCCCATCTCCCCCAGATCTTTTTACTAATTAGATTTTATACTTGAAGGCTTGACACACACTTTGACCTCAAACCCATCTGTTTTGGGCGGTATAGAAGTTGAACTTGGTACTTAATGGTGGAATGATTGAATCAGTGATGAAACTTTGGGCTGTGATATTTCCTCCTATTATTTACCCACAATGTAGGATTATGCAGGTTGAAGGGACCTCCAAAATAATGTTGCTGCCTTAACTGACAAATGTGGAAAATGGGGCATGGAGCCAGAAGGGTACGAGGTATGGAATGATTTGATTGAAGCATCATGGTAAGGTGATGACCAAGGCAGGATGCAAATCAGTTCTTGGTGGTTCTTTAAGTAGAGATTCTTGCAGGCTGCCACTACCCAAGCAATTGGATGATGCATAACACATACTATATTCTTTAGAGTGATTAGCTACTTGCTCTTCTGAAATAATTCATTTTCCCTTTTAAAATAAAATATTCAAATTTAGTTTTTAAGTAGTATTTCTATTAACAGACTATACTTAATCTAAGTTTGTTTCTGTGTTCCTTACCCCTGAGGAGCCCACAGGGAAGATCTACAAGGTGTCCAACTTGGGGACCTTCTTGCTACTGTGATAGATTAAACCTTAAACTTGAAATGCTTCATTCTAGGACTTCATGCCACGTGAGGTCTTGGAAACAGGTTCTGTGTTCTCAGATTTCACAGTCTTCCTTTGCATTTCCACAGTGTTGTTAAGGATGGAATATACGTTGTATGAAATGGAAAGCTCACCTCACTAACTTGTTCTTTGGGAGGTTTTTTGAGACACAGAGCTGGAGTTGTCTTGGGGAGAGAATGTGGCTTTCATATAAGGCCTTTGAGAGGTCTAAGATGTCCCAGAGCGCTCTCCTTCACTCATAAAAAGCTATCTTGTAGTCTGGGACTGAAAACATGTTTTCACCCTTTCCAGCCTCCGGAGACCGCACAGAGTCAACATCTGGCACGTTTTTGCTGGCTTAATTCCATTGGAGGGTGCCTGGCCTATGGAGAGCTGATCTTTGGACAAAGTATTTGGTTAGGGCCCCTTTTGGATCCTAGGAGCAGGAGGCCCAGCCATGGCAATGTCTTCTTTTCTGGTTGGTTTGCAGTGAGTAGACACCTTCTGTTGAATTTGTAAAAATCCCTTTCTATAAAGTGGTGAAAGGCTTGGGTGGAAGAGACACTGTTATCTTTCAAGAAAACAGTTCATGAGGTTGAAGCACTGTGTTCTTGGCCCAGCTTGTGTTTGCCCAATGGCCTGGGAGCCTCCCCAACCAGTGGTGCCTTCCGCCCTATGGCGACGTGCAAGCATACCGCGGCTGCGGCTCACCGTGTCCGCTCCCTCACATCTCCCCAGCAAAGAAAACCTCCATTTATAGGACCCACCACAAAACTCACTCTTTGGACTCTTAAAAACAAACAAGATCCTGAAGCCACAGGCTTCGTGCGGGCTGTGTGGTTTTGTAAAATCTCAAACCGTGAATCAAAATAATTTTTAGAGGCACAGTCAAGACTCAGGCCCAAACGCTCCAAATGGGAGAGATGCAGGGAAGGTTCCCTTAGACCAGGGAGGATAGCTGAGAGGGGCAGAAGGACAGGGACAGGACATAGAGAGTGTTACTCGTCTAGGGAGGATGTCTGCCACCTCCTGTCTATCTTGAAGGCCTGAGTAGATGCAATAAGTTCAGGGCAAGCAGAGCAGTGATGGACCAATAAAGGGAATTATTTACAACCTGCACCTCTCTTAGCTTCTAGCACTGCTCTTGTCTACATTGCTTAGCAATATGCTATCCTGCCTGCTTTCTCCTTACTTCCATTCAGTTTGTTCACTCTTCTACAGGTGGTAAACTCAACTGGAGCAGATTCTGTGACTCGTGTAGCTTGTGTGTCTTCACATGTAGGATGTGAGTTCTTACAATGATGCGAGTGGGTACCACACACATCACTTTTGGTACTAGGTAAGATTTTCAGTCAAAGGATTTCCTGCGTGTCAGGATCCAGTGTGGATGAAAGTGCAAGTGGATACTGGAAAACTAGAGTTCATTGGAATTGAGAGGTAGCTGAAGACCAACTCAAGCCATGGCTAGTTTTACCCTCTTAGTTTCTTTACATGTTGCTGTAACAAAAGTGCCTCACCAAAGCAACTTAAGGGAGAGAAGGTTTGTTTTGGATTCTGTCTCCAAAGGGATATAGTCCATCATGGTGTGAAAAGCATGGTGTCAGCAGCATAAGGCCCACTGGTGACATTGCATCCCTAGTCAGGAAGCAGAGTGTGAACAGTAAGTGGGGCCAAGCCACAAAAGCTCTGTGCTTGCCCCCAGGGACATACTTCCTCTATCAAGTCTATCTCCGAAGCCTTCCACATTTTCCTGAATGTACCATCAGCTGGAGACCAAATGTTCAAAAAAAAATCATTAAAGTAGCATCTGTCATGCCAGCTTAATTTATGACCCTGTGTTATCTGGTAACTATTTCTCAGTATGCAATTACAACTAGTAATAGAGGAATGGTGCAAATCAAATTCTGCATTCCTCTTCTTCCCAAATGAACTCTGAACCCTCTAGCAAGGTGAAACTGATTCTTAGAAGCCATTGCAAACTATGGCTATAGAGGAAGAAGCCCCAGTGGGCTAACAATAGTACCTGAGTAGATTATAGAAGTCACCAAACCTAATTCCTGTAGAGAAATATGCACCAAACACTTTCCATGCTTTGTTTCTGATCACACCTGTATACAGATTTGGAAGTTGGAACCAGCCTTTGGTGAACAACTCCTCTATTTTTATCAGCGTAAAACAGTGATTCAGGACTTCTCCCATGTGCATGATTTTACTCTTGGTCCTGCTTCCTGGAACTCTAGAGACTTAGTACTTGGTGACCACTGATGGTCTCTGCTTATGCATATGAATTTTTGGCCATTTTAGTCATTACTTGGAGCCTCCTGTGCCTCCTGATTGTCCTCAGGTTGATGGGGACAACCATGAATATTGATGTCCCCTTTGAGTTTGGCACCCAGAACTGAAAAACAATTTCAGACAGTTGTGTAGGGGCTTGTAAGTTGTACTGAGCCCTTCCCAGACACTGCCCTTTACTTAAGTCTTTACCCTGTTCGTATTGTGTTTGGAAATTAATACTGAAGGTAGTAGTGCTTGCTTATAATCTCAGCTACATGAGGGGCTGAGGGAGGAAGACCTGAAGTTACAGGCCAGCCTCTGCTAGTGAATTCAGAGACAGCTGAGGCAACTTAGTGAAATTCTGTCTAAATACAAAACATTAAAAAGGCTAGGCTGTCTTGCTTTCTTAGCTCACACAGAGCCCTGAGTTTGTCCCCAACACAAAAACAATCAATGAAAATCAAAGTAATATTTAGTAGAGATTTACCCTATTATAAAGTACTTACTTGTAATAGAAAATGTAGTAACTGAAGAAAACTGTGAAATGAAAATTACTAGGAGGCTTAAAATGTGTATTTGAGAGATACAGTCATAGACACAGATGAATATATATATATATATATATATATATATATACATATACGTAGATAAAATGCAGGTATATGTATATATTATATACAAATATATGCATTTAATTGAGTTTGTATATATGCTAACTTATCAAGTCTCTGTGTGTCAACAGCAGTTTATAAATGAGAAACAGTTAATAAACACTACTTTGATGACTCTTAACAATCAACATGGAAGAAAATACTCACAGAAACATGGCACAGATAACATTTGTGTGGAGAATGAGGAGAGCCTATGAATAGCTTTTAATTTCCATGCATGAGCTATTGGTGTGTGTACAACATTTCTTGTAATTTAATTTTAGTTACGTAAATATGTAGCATGAAATTCTACTGGCTCATTAGATCTCTGTCTGTAAAATTTTTAATTGCTATGTGGTATTTAATTATTCGGATACACTGGGCTGTTTTTAATCATCCCTCTATTGTGGGATGGTTATGTTGCTTGGGTTGTTATGAACAATATTGTAAAGCCAAGCATGCTGGCACACACCTGTAGTCCCAGGTAGAGGCAGGAGGATCCTGAGTTCCAAGCTATAGTGAATTACATGGCAATATCATACAACAAAAAACATTAAAATAAAAAGTGGCAGGTGGGTAGGGGTTGGGGATGAGAGAGAGGTGGGAGAGGGAGATGGAAGGACAGAGAGGGAGAAAGAGAGAAGAGAGAGAGAGAGAGAGAGAGAGAGAGAGAGAGAGAGAGAGCAGTCAGGAACATGCTTGTTGAGCAAGCATAAAGACGTGAGTTCAGTCCCAGCACTCATATGAAAAAGCTGGGCAGACTGGCTTGCATTTGTGGTCCCCCTGCTGAGTCACTAAGTAAGCAGCTTGATAGAACTGGGAAGCCCCAGGTACCAGTGAGAGATGTCTTGTACAACAAACAATATGAACAACTCAAGAGGAGGGACACCTGAGGTTGACCTCTGGTCTCTACCTGCACCTGTACATTCACATTAAGCATGAACACACACACACTTGCATGTACACACACACACACACACACACACACACACACACAAACATAGTAATGATAATGATATTTATGATGAAGAGGTAGTGAGCTTCTTTTTGTGCGTTACATACATACATCTTTGATATTTAGTGCATCTATTGTTAGGACAAGAACAATAATTTCTAAGACTTTTAACATAAATTAGTATCTAGAAAGATTGTAACAACCTTGCTTTCCCTCCAGTACTGTGTTGGTCCAGAACTTTTCACAAAATCAAGTTCAAACTTAAGAGAACAATATGAGTATCTTCTGATTTGAGTAAATACCCTGGTGAAGATAAATTTCTCTTCCACATTTCCATTTTTATCATTCCATTATTTGTCAATTTTCTTTTCAAGCTTATTTTTAATCATCTTTGAACTAGGAATTCAGCTTTTCTGTATTGATTCATTGGTGTTCTTTCTGTAATAATGATCTTGAGGGTCTAGGTTTGTTAGAGAGGCCATAGGTCTGGACCAATTTTTGTTCGCCTTTTGACTTTCAAAGTATAGGTTTTGATTATTGATGTTTAAATCTGTAACTGAATGAGCAGTGTAAGTTCACCTGATTGAACTGATACAATGGCTAATTGTAATTAATTCTAACACAGTCGTCCTATAACCTATGCATCTTTAAAAAAAGATTAATTTTATTTTGTGTCTGTGTTTTGTTTGTTTGTTTTACCTGAGTATATGTCTGTGTGCATGCCCACAAAGGCCAGAAGAGAGCATCAGATTCCCTAGATTGATGGTACAGTTAGCCACCATGTGTGTGCTGGGAACTGAACCTGGGTCCTCTGAAAGAGCTGCCAGTGTTCTTAACCACTGAACCATCTCACTACCTTAGTGTATCTTTCTTAACATCTCTCCCATGTCCTCACATTCATAAATGTGTTAAACATGTCCTAAGGCAAGTCAATGGCAAAACAAAATGAGAAATAGAAAAAGGAAGAGGAAGGAAGGGAAGAAGGAAGGAAACCAAAGCCTTTAGAATCTGCCCCTACTTCTATCTGAGCCACTAGTTAGTGCTCTTTAGGAATTTCCTTTGTTTCTGGTCTTCGAGACAGGGTCCCATGGAGTCCAGGTGGGCTGCAAACTCATTGTACATCCAAGGAAGGTGAGCTTGCACTTCTGATTCTCCAGCCTCCACTCGTGTGGGCTGTTGTTACAGCTGTGTGCCACCATGCCCAGCTCAATTCGAGCCACTTGTGATTTTGCCTGAAGTTGTCATTTTCTACCTGATCCTTTGTCCTAAGGCAAGCAAACATCATTTCCCAGAGGTAGAGGACCAGAATCCCAGGTAGGTTCATGTGTAGCCTGGAGATTCAAAGATTGGACAATCTGCATGCTTACTTTCCCTTTCAAGTACCAGAAAATGAAAGCCCTATTTCTGGGCTCCTGGCTCTTACTTATTCTGTTATTTTTCAGGTACCATATTTGAAAGATACCTTAGTGTTCTTAGATACCAAGCATGAAACTTTCAAATCTAGTTAACTTATTGTTTTCCTTGACTTGTCTTGCCTTTGTACTGCTTTTCCTAGTAATGAATTTTATTTTATACATCTCAGGAATTGTCCACAATGAAGGATGTTCCACAGGACTTTATACTTGACTTTAATCCCATGTCCTGTACTGTCACATATTAATATGCCCTACACTACGAAACATAGGGCCTCTGCTACCTCCTGTTTCTTACAGACATATTATATAGTAGTTGATTTATATTATTACATTGTGTGTGTGTGTGTGTGTGTGTGTGTGTGTGTGTGTGTCTGTGTGTGTAGCTTTGTGACCTGAATAGCACAAAAACAGAAAATTATAGAACCAAACATATAGGATAATAAATGATGATATATACTTTATTAAATATAGTAGTCTATATCAATCTATCATTGTCAATTCTCTCTCTCATTTATTACCTATCTGTCAACCCATACATTCATGCAACAATTTAAGTAGGATACGATGAGAGTCATATGGCATATAGAATACCCCTCTCAGACCTTGGTGACATGCTGGTTCTGGGCCCCTTAACTGAAACTTGGCCAGTCACATAATCACTTCCCAGCCCCTTTCTCCTTCCCTCCCCGTGGGTGAGCTCTGGAATGTCTGTCCTGTCCTTGTAGCTTTGGCCATGGTCTCTGTGAGAAGTTCATTTTCAGACTTCTCTAATAGCCACTGCATGCCAGGTGTGCAATAAAACAGGGCCAAATTTTTATTTCTACACTCAGATATACCACTTAAACCCTTTAACCATCGCAATGACCAATTAGAGCCGACACTGCCCTGTGGTAACCCCGTGTTGGCCCCATGCTGTGGTTTCTGGGTATCAATGACCTAGTTGCTAAATTATAAAGATTATTAAGGTCAGTGGAGGGACAGGTCTGAGAGTGGCCAGATAATAGGGAGGGTCTCAGAGGTGAGTCTGTTTACCAGATGGTAAGGAAATATTGAAGTTTTTTGTTGTTGTTGTTGTTTTGGGGGGGGTTGGGGGTGGGTTTTTTGTTTTTGTTTTGGTTTTTGTCACCCCCCCAGGCTTGATACAGTAACATATACTCTTAACTCTTTCTGTCCCCAAATATCTCTCCCTATTGCTAAAAATAGTAATTCACACTGGGATTTGCCCACACAGGCACACACTGGCAGCTGGCTGGGCTAGCCCGCCCCTGCCTGGTTCTTGAGCTTCTCTGGATTTCTCTGTTAGACTCACAGCTCTAGGCTGAGCAGCCTCATAGACTAGGGAGTTGGTTCCCAGTCCTCTATAACCTGACAGCTATCCGGTTGAGCGGAAATCACTCTTCTTTATCAGGGGGCTGGGAAGACTTAGTTCTAGGAAGACATAGTCTAAGCCCTTAAGATAAGGCAGTTGGTTTGGGTGGTAGGGTTTGGTCATGTGGTAGGTTTTAGGTGATTGTGCTAGGCGTGTGGCATATCCATGACCTTTCCATTCAACTCTGTCAATGTAGGTTTGGATGCTTGGATGTCTACATTGCAGGGACAGGTAAAGTTGTGAATGGAGGTGTTGCTTCCTTGCTTGTTTGGAGAATTCTGGTGCAGGATGAAGCCAAGAGAAATGGCACTCCTCACATAGGTCTATGGTGAGCTGTCCCCACTATGTGCTACCCTTTCTGTGCCAAGCTCAAGTGTCACTCCTGTAGACTGGCAATGGAGGGAACAGAGACCTAACCTCTGACAGAGTCTTTAAACTGATGAGACAACAGGAGCCTGTGGAAGTGATCTCTGGTGACTTTTGGGGTACTGTGTTCTGCTGATTATGTGCTGGCAAAAGGGCAGTGGGGATGGAAGAGTGGGTATCAAGGTCTAGATCAGACAGACACCCCTCCCCTGCCTCCAGTTCCTGGACTTTCTTATTACCATCCTCACAAGTGGCCAGTTTCCAAGGAAAGGATGGAGGCTGAGTTTGCATCTACCCTGTAACTGAAGAGATCAGGAAGGTGCTGCCATGCCTACAGCCCTGTGTCATCCTCCAGCCCCTGGCTTAGCCTGGGCAGGGGCAGAGCTGCCTCTTTAGCACCACTGTTTCTATAGGCTAATGAGGGCAGTGTGTGAGCCACAGGCAATGATGGTGGGATATTAACTGTGACAGGAAGCTTGATCATAATTATCTTAACGAGGATAGGGTTAATTACAGTGGAGACTTAAAAGTTCCCTCTGTTTGACTCCACTAGAGCCAAATGCATTGTGATGTTTTGTCATTTTGATGTGACTTTGGAAAAGGATCGTCCCTGAACAACCACAAATTCCCGAGAGAGTCCAGTGGACAAGGTGACCAAGATGGTACCTTTGGGTGTGGTCATGCCAGCTTTCTCATTAGTGCAGAGGGAAGGAAGCAGGCTGAAACATGATCTGGAGATGCTGATGAGATTGGCAGAATAAACCATCTGCGCTGGGTCCCCACCTGCCAGGAGTGGGATGCCTCCATACTCTCTGTGCTGGCTTCTCCCAGTAGTGTAAGAACGCTGTGACTCCCTCCAGCTTCCAGCTGATATCTCTCAGGCACTGCAGCTACCACCCAGTGAATGACCCTGGAGTAACAGTCAACTCTCCATCAGGCTCTTACTTTGGGGGTGCATTTTGCAGTTTACACTTTAGCTTAGACCACATTGTCATCGTCCCTGTAAACTAGTAGTGCCATCGCAGGTAAAGGAAGTGCTGTGCCTTGACTTCAACAATATTTTTTTTTAACCTTGTCATTTTTTACAACAGTGGCTATCTCTACCTGCAAGAATCTGCTGTGGGGATAATGAAAGCAGAGATTAATACAAGAAACTCCTTCCTGATCATTTCTTTCGGAAAATATCAATAACAGGCACTGGAAAAAAATTTCAGAGTAAAAAAGGAAGCCCTTTTCCCTGGCATGTTTGGTGCTTCCAATGTGCCATTGGAACTCAAAAATTCTTTCCCTGCTGCCTCTCCCTCATGGTGCCCCGAGTCTCCTGCCTCCAGTACCTTAGCTCTATACTAATTTGAACACATCTCCAACAGCCAACACCAACGTTGAAGACAGCACCCTCCCATGTAACACAGCTCTCCTTTTCCTGAGCACTAACAACATTACGGGGGGGGGGGGAATAGAATCTGGAAACCAGACAAGAGACAGGGGATTTGGTGGGACTGGCCCCTGAGGTCTCCCTCCCATATGGAGCTGTGACATATAGCCTGTATTGTGGGGAGAAAGAAGCAGCCTTGGTGGGGCCAGTGCCCTTGCAGTGTACCGGCATTGTCCCCCTTCATGCTGTGTCATTTTGTTTTATGCTTCCTCAGAAGCAGTCTGGGAAGGGAGTTTTCCTCTGCTTGCCAGTTGCCAGCCCTTTGCTGATTCTCATGATAAAAATGCAATATTTGCATAACATATCTTGGAACAGTGTGTATCTGAATGTTGTTGTTGACCAGAGCCCATGTGATGCTGGGTGCACAAAAAACTTATTAGCTGCCCAGAAGGCTTCCTGAAGGGGAGGGGGGCAGCTTCACTCCCCCTATGGCAAGCAGGGACCTGGCCCTGAAGCACTTGTGGTTAATATGCTGGGTTCACTGACTCCCATGGAAAAAGGGACTCTTTTGGTAGAGAATTGGATTATATATTCAGTATCTGATCCCCATAAACCCAGCAACTAGGCCTGATAAAACATGCCCAGAACCCTAATAGTGGGATGGTCTAAGCAGGAGGATCAGAAGTTCAAGGTCATCCTTGGCTACATAATGAGTTTGAGGACAGCACAGGATATTTGAGAGCCAGATACAAACAAAACAAAACAAAACAAAACAAAACAAATAAAACCAAAACCAAACAAACAAAACGCCAAGGACTTTAGGGAGCCCGATTGCCGGCACACTGGATTTGTTCATCAGCACACCTGCTATGATTCCTCTACTCTCTCAGTCTCCACCCCCACAATTCAGATCACAGCTTCTGGGATAAACCAATGGATGATGGCAGGAGGAGGCTGAACTGACTGGGAACACAGTCACTGTTTGGGGTGGAGGGGAGCTTGAGGCACTTGTGCACAAAAGTCCCTGCAGTCTTCCTGAAATCCTCTGAGCTAGGAGACACACAGAGCCAGGCTTTCAGTATGCTCCAGTTCAGGCTACAAGGAGTTGGGGGAGCCTAGACCAAGCCCCAAAAGGGAGGGTTTTTTTCTTTTTCTCTCCCCTTCCTTCCTTCCTTCCTTCCTTCCTTCCTTCCTTCCTTCCTGCCTCCCTTCCCCCTTTCTTTCTGCCTCCCAGAAGCCTACAAAATAGGATGACTCCTAAACACTAGTTTCAGGGTTTTGTGTTGGCCCAGCAGCAGGTGCTGGAGCCAGAGTGGGACCCCATGAACGTCCCTCAGACACAGGGCATGCAGATGGAAGCAAGCTCTGGGCCCAGTGGAACCCAAAGATTTAATGAGCATGCTTTTACACATCTCAAGGGTAGTAACCCCCCCCCACTCTCACTTCCCCACCCCTTGTTTTGTCGACCCTTTGTCAGAAAGCCCACCAGGGAGCCATGACACCTTGGAAAACTCCCATGCTAAATGCCCCTGCCTGTAGTGCACCCAGGACACACACAAGATGACAGGGTCTTAGCATTGGTTCCATCAGTAAAGGCATCACAGCTGACACCATACTGATCTACCGAACTTTCTAGACTAGCCAGGGATTCAATGTGTGTCTTCCCTTCATGGACTCTGTGACTCAGCCGGCTCCAGCCTGTGCAAACTCAGCATGTCTCCTGGGCCTGGCAGGTGAACAAGCTGGGAGTCTGCGCAAGCCCTGGGACCTTCAGCAGGCTCACTTTAATTAACATTTGTGTGTGCCTGGGCAAGCATTTGTGCACAACTGCCTCATGCTCTCCTCCACCCCAAACACTCACAAGAGTCCCTTAGGTGAAGTGCTAATTTCAGACTACAAGGGTAAACAGGACCACCTTTTCCTTTCTGTCGGAGTATTTTTGTCTTTGAACCTGATACTTAATCCTTTTTATTTGCTGCCTCAAAATCTACATTGCTGTACTCTATGCCTAAAGAAAAAAAAAAGTCCACATTCCATAAATTAGAACTTGAGACCAGGGGCTTTGAAGCAGAAATTCTCCCAGCCCCCTGTCCCCACACAAAACCAAAACCGAGTAAAAAGAAATAATGAAAGAAGAAAAAGCTTTCTCTTGGCCTGGAGTGATTATGTAATTCCTCCCTGTCGGGCAGCCATGGGATGCTAGGCAGGAGCAAATTAAGTGATTAGTAAAGAAAAAAAAATAGAGGGAGAAGAATAAAAAAGAGCCCACAGATGTGAGGATGTGAGGGGAGAGTAAAGCCCCTTCCTGGCCATTTCCCTTATGACTGTACAGAGGAGAACCGCTAAGAAATGATACTTGAAGTTATATTTATTATTGTAAGAGGGGTATGAGATTTCTAGGCAGGAATGATGGATGACAGCTTAAATTTGTGTCCAGGGAATGAAGGTGAACTGTGACAGAGTTATTTATCTTGGGAATGGAGGTTAGGGTCAGCCCAGGCTGGGTGCCTGAAGGCACAAGACATTGACAAATTTATCCTGCAGGCCGTATCTGAAGCCCTTTGTTTTGGATCCTGGCTTCTCAATAAGTGACCCTCATCCTTCATGTTGGCAATTCGTGAAGGATGCGGTGAGTGCCAGCGGGGGCCCCCTTCTCCCCCTCCACCCCCACCCCGGCTCCCTGCTACTAATTCTTGTCATTCACTCTGCTGACAGGCACCAAGCCCAAACTATTCCCAGTTCTGAAAGGGAAGGTTAAAATATTTATTTCGGCTCATAATGGCCTCTCTGATTTACTGCAGGATCGTTTTCCCCCTTGCCTTTGTCATTGCAGGTCACTGGAAGGACTGAGCGCATTCAGGAGCCTGGAGGAACTCATCTTAGACAACAATCTATTCGGTGACGACCTCGTGTTGCCACGGTTACCCCACTTGCACACCTTAACCCTCAACAAGAACCAGATATCCTTTTTGGCACCGAGCACGCCAGGTCCTTGCAGCACCCCACTTGCCGCCCAACTCCACGGGGGTCCTGTTCTTCCACCCCCATACCCTTCTTCGCAAAAATACCTGCAAAATGTCAAATGAGTTTTATGTGTCAGCTAAATTAAAGTATGTGAAATACAGTCGGTGGGCAGACAAAGCGTTCTGTCTTCTGGCGCTCAAGACACTTCAGAATAATTTATTATAGGTCATTCATAAATGAAATGCACCGTTATATCTTCCTGTTGCTCCATTTTAGTGTAGAGATCTAAGTTATGGCTGCGAGGAAATCTTTTTAATAGATAAAAATATAGAAAGAAAATAATGTCACGGGCGCCTGGGAGGAAAAGCTGCTTCTGTTTGCCTGGGCTTGTGTGGGAGGGCGACCTCTGGTGGCAAGCCGTGGGTAATGCCGCTAAGCTGACTTAGTCCTTGTAGGTTTCAGGAATGGTTTTGATATAGGTTTCTGGAACAGTTCTAGAGATCAAGGAGAGAGAGCTGATGTGGAAAGAGATGTGTGAAGGTCTGGCTCTTCACTCCCCGTGGATACAGCCTTGGGCATGATGACAGAACCATGAGAGCCGTGATAGGTTTCGGCCTCCTTTAAGTAGGTGAGTATGCCCATCCTGGCCTGAGAATTAGGAAGTAACCACCCTTGATTCTGTAGTGAGAGTACATCAGAAGACTTCTCTAACAGCATAGGGTACATGGCCCCTCCAATGTTTGTGCTCTTGGTTACCAGGAACTAGAACGCCAGCTTCACCAGGCAGGCATTTCGGGATCCTTCCTGTGCACAATTCTGCTTGGCCAAGTTCACATTCCACAGATGTTTGTGGGATAAACAATATACTTATTTTCACTAGTTTCTCACAGAAGCCATGCTCTGTTTCGGGGACATGAAGCACTTTACTTTCCATTCTCACCAGGTCCAATGAGGCGGGTATAGATTTTCCATTTGTCTCATCTTAGAAACTGAGGTTATGTATACATTCCTAGTCAAACAATGAACAAGATGGAGACCTGGATTCAAGCTCAGCCACGGTTGCATCAGGGGGTTTGTTTGTTTGTTTGTTTGGTTGTATGGTTTGATTCTACTGCAGAATTTTGGACTTGGAGTCCGATTGCCTAGCATATTGATGTAAAATCACTTGTTCCCACTTCATACAAGTTAGAAACAAAGACCCAGCATTATCCCTTCTGGTTATAAAGTAAAAACAGATTCATATGTTAAGTTCAGCGTACATGCTTATGTCAGCATTTAGGATGCTTTGCAAAATTACTTATTAGCCTCTATTGATGCTTCAAGCTGTAAGTTAATATTTTTTTTATTGTTTAAAATATTGTCTCAGTCAGCTCTTGCTGCCATGACAGAATACTGTTGACTGGGAAGCCACAAACAAGTATTTGTCACTCATAGTCTGGAGGCTGAGAGGCTGAGAGCAGGGTCCAGCAGGAGGGGTTTGATGATGATGAGTCCTCTGCCTGCTCTTATATTGGGGGCAGAGTGGGGGGAGGGAGGATGTGGAGGGGGAGAGAAACATTTTTGTTTGTTCTTATCAATGGATTAAGTCACCCTATCGTGGGTTCTACCTTTAGGACTTAAAGACTTCTCAACGGATTTGGAGTCAAAACACTTGCATTTTGAGAGTGGGGTATAAACATTTAGTGCTTCTCAAATGTGTTCCTATAGCCATTGCCAGTGGACACTTCAGGGGAAGAAGAGGAAGTAAGTTCACCGTTTGTGTCATAATGAAATTTAGTAGGGTTCTCCTCATGTATTCTTTGGTCCACTGAGCTTCCAAGTCATTGTTTGAAAGCATGCTGTGTTCTGTGTATTCTCCTCTTCCTCGGCAGTCCTTGGTGATCAGCTGGACCACATGCACAGCTGGTTCCAGGAGAGAAGACTCACTAGGCTGAACTCTACATGATACCCCTCCTCCCTTGAGCCTCAGCCCATGTCTTGTTTCTCATGTCATCACAGGATACTACAGTCCACAGACATAGTTTCATATGTCCTCTTGGTCATCTTTAGCAGTGTGGCCTTGTGTAAGTCATCTTCTGGGAGCCTGTTCCTTATTTTTAGAGGCATAAGTTGGATCAGGTGATGGCTTTATTCTCAGCACTACTGAGATTGGTAGGCCTCTTGGGATCTAGAGTTCTAGGAGATTGACTGTGTTTTGTTAAGTCCTTTTCCTATTCTGTGCCTTAACTTCCTTGATCTGTAGTGGTAATGCTAAGAGAGTAAGGGGACTAGCCTGGGAAGTCACTGTGTTGCTGAAAATCCAGTTACATAACTGTGCTTTTATAGAGCATCTTATTATCAGTGGATACAGACACACTAAGTGTTGTCCAGCTCAGGTTGCTGCATCCTGCTCAAGTTACTATGCAATTTCTTTCTTCTTTTCCTCCCGATATACTAGCACCATGGCAAAAATCAGCTTCCCCATCCCTTTGATCTGGAAGTTGCAGTCTGCAAGGTGGGCAAAAGCAGACAACATTGTATGCCCTCCTCTTAGCCTAATACTTTGACCTTGCCTCTTCAGATTAAAATTCCCTGCTTGTGCAAATGCCTCAATCTGCACAAGGGTACTGCTGGTGCTGTCCCACGAGATGCCCCAGACACAGGCTCTGTCAGCTAGCTCATGTAGCATAATGATCCACTCCATGGAACAACAAATGTTCTCCACACTCCAATTCTATGTGAATCAGGACTCAGCTGGGTGGTTCTTCTGATGGTCTTACTTTGTGTCACGCAGGAAGCCATGATTTTTTTTTTACCAGTGCTAGATAATCTAAAATAGCCTCACCCTTACGTGAACAATTAGTGCTGGCTGTTGGCTCAACTGCCTGTCTCTAATGGGCTGCATGCACTATAAGACTTGAAAGGATTGTTCTAGGGCACAGGCCCTGGTGCACAAGTACTTGTCAAGTCCTACTTGCATTATGAAAGCAAGTTGCATACGAAATGCAGAGCAAATGTGGGAGATGACACAGGTGTGCACATAAAGAACTGCTCATTTCTATAGCCATCTACCGCACCAGACTTGGCATCTCATCTCCAGAGATCTCATTTCATTTTCACGATAAAGCGTCCTACCGGCTCTCCCAACTCATCTTCTATACATCCCAGGCCCACCTGCCCTGGGATAGTATCACCCCCTTCATCAATTAGCAATTGATGGAGTCAGTTCCTCCACTGAGACTCCATCTCCCCTGGTATGGCTAGGTTTGTGTCGAGTTGACAAAATCTACCATGACATCATTCTAGACAAAATATGAAAACCACTCTCATCTGACTAAAGCCATCATCACCAAGAGAAGAATGTATTCCTTAGACTTTTATAATTTACTATAATTCTAATCTCATTCTATGAGTTTGCAATCACTGGCAAATAAATGTCCTTTGTTGGCATTTTTGTTTATTTGTTTTGTTGCTTTAGAAAACTCAGAGATTGCAAGTGTTTGGGAGACGCACAGAATGCCACAGGCATGGCTTCATCTAGATCCCACTTAGGCTGACTCTGAGCCTCCCACTCCCATCCCCAGGTTCTGAAACTCAAAGAGAAGCAACCATTTTGCAAGAAGAGGGACTTCCGTGTGGGAGGAGTCAGCGGACAGCTGGTGCAAGGCCCTGCTCCCAGCTGGGGCTTCGGGATTCTGTTCACAGAATAGATCCCAGGGTGCAGACTCTGTAGCATCTGGAAAAATATCTTGTCAATTCACCACTGAATGCATCTGCCCCATCTTTATGAGTCCTTCTACCCTTCTTCCCCACGGCCTTCCTTCTATCACCTCCTGGTCAATTAGGGTTCAGTCCTCAGCTTCAGAGTCCTGCCCTGGGCTATCTAAGAGTCTGGCTGTCTCAGCTCATCTCTTCCTCCCTTGTTCTTTTGATGTGTATTCCTATCACACCTTTTCCTTGATTGATTTAGAGTGGCTAGGT